AGTTATTACAATATTATATTATTATTATTATTATTATTATTATTATTTATTGAACATTGTGATATCTCTGTTGAACACTCACTATGGATGGTTGGTGGATGTTGTCTGTTCTCTATCATCATTATGTGTTCTCCTTTTCTGTTCATGTTACTCTTCAATAACAGCTTCTTCTTTCCTATCAAACATACACCGTCCTTATCTCTTCTCCTTCTTTTCTTTTCACATTACGCTCTAGAAACTCTTATAAAGTTTGACACTCATAATGACCTATTTGTGTTGCAAGTGCCGTAAAACCGTCACCAAAACTAACCTGAAACATGCATGTGTAACAAGTCTGTGTTGAGACTGTCGCTCAATGCTACTGTTTCTCTCTCTCTCGTGCTCTCTGACCAGGTGAGGCTGTGGACTTTGAGAGCTACGGTGACCCCCACCTGGCGGCTGCCATACTGAAGAAGTTCCTGAGGGAACTACAGGAGCCCCTGATGACCTTTGACCTCTTTGAGCCTCTCACTCGACTGCATTGTAAGTTCGGAGGAGACAATTTTGTTGTTGTTGTTATTATTTATACATTTAAAAAAATACTTTTGATTTATGCAGTTGCAAGTGCTGTACAACTCTTACAGAACTAAATACTTTTGGTAAAATCTACTGTAGGTTGTTGGTGATCACTGCTAGTTGATCCTACTTTTCTTTTCTTCTGTTTTTTTCTGTCTGTGTGAGTGGTTGGCGGGTGCTCTGGTGTGGTTTGCTGTTTCTTTCCCATCAAACATTTAACATCCTTATCTTTCCTCCTGCTTTTCTTTGTATGTTACTTTGTTGTAACGCGTCTAGTCTTTGTCACTTGTATGATCTTATTTGTCTTGTTAGTGCCGTAATACTCGTACTTAAACTAAATAATCATTATTGTGTTCATGTGCATTTCTTTATTTAAACAAAGTGTACCGTCCTCTCTATGGAGTTGATATTTAATATACGAAGCAGCTGCTTTGCTTTTATATCTTTCTGTGATGAATATTTCCCATGAGTGAGGCGATTTTACAAAACCATTTGTGCACCGGGCTACAAGCCCAACGAGATGTTAGATGTTTGAACTGAGAGACCTTTGATTATTTTCTATTTAATGTTTACTTTTATCATGAGTAATTTCAGATCTAACTCCTGAGGAAATATTCTACAGAGAAATTGTTGGATTCTAATTGTATTTCATTTTCTTTCTTTTGTTGTTCTTTTTTTTACATTCTGCTCACTGATTTTTTTCTGTGTGCAGTTATGGAGCAAGGCAAACAGCTGACAGAAGTGCAGAGGATTCTCAAGGATGAGTTACCCGAGGACAACTACATCATTCTGAAATTTGTCTTTCAGTTTTTGCAGCAGGTTGGTCGTTCTTGTGGAAAACAGGAGTTTATGTACAACTATGGTCATGTCTTTCTTCATCTTTCATAAATCAATGATTAACACAAACTTGATTTATTGGACACATGTCCCTACTTAAAATTACCCCTGCATGTTTGCCGACAATCGTCTGAAATCCGACAATCGCGACCCGACCCGCGAGCCGACCGATGCTATCGCTAGGCCCACCTGTATCAGTATCCGTCAATGTGCGTAGTGCAAGGCCTGGCCGACTGCCAGCGCCCCCCTTTTCTCGGCTTTGTCGGCACTTTCGTTTTCTTGCTGACCGCCGACTGCCGACGTCGGCGTTTCCGACATAATTGTCGGAACCTGAGTAGTAGATACGAATACGGATAAGTACGACGACCTAAGTTATCTACTTTCAGTTTCGTACTCGAGCGGCCATTTTGAATTTCGTTTGTTTACTGATAGTTCAGATCATGTGGATTCTTTCGAGTCTGACTCACTTGCAAATTCTACTTGATCTATATATCTAGATTTAGATCTAGATTTATAGATCATTATAGACCTCAATGGAGGATTCATATTCTAATTCTATTGTGTCAAACCCTATAATAGGTTGTGCTGTAATATTAATGTTAGTAAAACGCATTTCATCAGGTGCGTGAATTATTTACTTAGAATAAAGATCTAATCTTTATCTAGATCTAGATCTAGACTCAGCTGAGTCCATCTGTTTGGAATCGGATGCGTATTTCTCGTTCAAGGCCTATTCCTATTCACTTGTTCTACAAGATCTAGATCTAGATCTAGATTTATTTAGATCACTAGATCTATAATATAACTAGATCTAGAGATCTATATATATGGAGGATTCATATTCCTATTCTATGTATTATTGTATCAAACTCTTTTTATAGCAATGTAGGCTTGTTTGTTTTGGAGTGTGCTTTTTATTTTTTAATAAAAAAAAACAAACTTGTGCTGGCCTTTTTACATGAGGGCTGTTGCAGGTTCTTTTTTGGGTTAGGCCTAGGGGTAGGGTTAGGGTTAGGTCTCTTCTTTATTGTCTTTGTTCGGGTGGTCGCTTGTTACTCGGAAGTCCTTCCTTTTATGACACTCACAATTTAAAAAGCTCTTATAAGTTATGGGGGGTGCGCCAAATTTTCAGACAATCTGGTTGAGGCTCACATGCAGGTCTATTAAAATTAGGCTCTTTGCAATTTTTGATTATATTGAAAAAAAAAGTTATTTATTTGTATATTTTATTTATTGTGAATTCATTTGTGTATTGCTTTGTGTGTGTGTTTGGTTGGTGCCTCTGGTAGGTTCTACTTCTTTTCTTTCTCTTTACTGCTATTGCTTCTGTCTATCGGCCTCGCTTCTTCCCTGCACTATATGAATGTTTCTGTGTCGATTTTTTTCTCATTCTCAAACTCGAACTGTACTGCCTTTTTTTTTCCATTTCTTTTCATTGTACCAGGTGGTTGACAAGTCTTTAATCAGATGAATGTGGAGAACGTTGCATACCTACTCAGTGGGGCTACTAAGAATTATTCAAAGCCGATGATCCTGAACAGAAATTTAATTAGCTTATTTAGGAGCCTTAATTCGTCTTTCAAAAAAAAAAAGTCATTTATTTGTTTATTCTTTTATTTATTTTGTATCTGTCTTGCTTCTTCGATTCATGATATGACTGTTATTGTGCCGATGTGCGTCTCAAACTCAAAGCGTATCGCCTATTAAAAAAAATTATTTTTTGTTATTCCAGGTGGTCGACAAGTCTGACATTAATCAGATGAACGCGGAGAACGTGGCCACGGTGTTCGGCCCCAACATCGCCTGGCCCAAAGGTCAGGCCAACCTGGCAAGTGTGGAGCAGGCGGTCAAGTTTGCCCTCATCCTCATCCAGAGCTTCGACGACGTGTTCCTCAGATAGTTCACCGGGGTGACAAGCTGCAGGGTGGCCGCAACCTTTTTTTTTTTTTTAAAATAGTTTTTTTGGGCTTTTTTTTGTACAAGAGCAACTTATCTGGATCCACTACTGTTTGTCTTGTGGTGAGAGTGGCTGGGTTTTACTACGTCTTTAGAATTTTTTGGTCATATGTGAATTATTGTCAAGTGTAATTCCCGCTGATCGTTTAGGTCTATCCGGTAAAAAAAAAAAAAAAGAATGGAAGTACGTGGTTTGAAAGTTGCGCTGGAAAATTTGTCTCTGTTGTGTGTGAAACATTTTTGTATTCTTCTAGTCTCTTGGTTTGACGACTTCTGGCTTTGCCCATTGGAAGTGTGAGTGTTGGAGAGCCACGGGGTCTATGTCGTAAATTATGGGAAATGTTTGAATGACCTTCAGTTGGCAACAGTGTTAACTTTTTATGTAAGCCACTTTTGTGCATCTCGTCCTGAAGTTGAAACAATTGTTAAGAGAAATTGTGAGAAACCTGTCTATTCATATGTGTGGGTTTGTGATGGAGTGACTTTTCATTTTTTGTAAAGAGATTGGAGTGTGGAGTGGTGTGTGTAAAGATTCTGTTAATATTAACAACGATCCCAGTGGCTTTGCCCAAAGAGGATTTTGAAAAGTCTCATTTTATCTGTTTGTTTTCATACTATGTGTAGTTTCGGTGAAACAGGGAGAAAAAAACCCCCTTTTTTTTCTCTTCTGATAAGTTCTTTGACTTTCCGTGCCCAATAACAAATGCGAATGTGAACTTTTTATTTAACGAAAAAAATGTTTTGTTTTTGCTTTTTCTCTAAATACTTTCTCAAGGGTTGTAAGCTATGAATGCAGATGATGAACAAAAAGACTCTTTGGAATGGAATTCTTTACACACAAAATGATGTGGAACTCTTTGTGAGTGAAGCTTCATAGAATCAAGAAAATATGTTGTAGACTTATACAATTAGGCCTACATAGGGAGATGCGTAGGTAAAACAAATGGGTGCAGATGTTTCCATTTAGTTTTTTGACTCCCAGTTTGTGACTGGAAACCAAAACAAGAGAAACAACAGTCATGTCTGATGGGGTGTGCTAATGTAGGCCTTGCACCTGTCATTGTTTGAAAGGGTTTCTAGAAATATCTCTTCTAATTTCTAGCTCTCTTTATTGGGGGGTATTTTTCTGTGTCCATATATCCATTAAAAGTTCTTAAAGTTTTGAAATATATCTATTGTAGCACATATATTTAGCAAGAGACATCAAAATTATACACTTGTGAATTGATAAAAATATGATCTTATGATTTTCATTATAGACTTTCTACACAAATTTTGCGAAGGAAATTATTTATTTGTGATAGTGTTTGGGAGTGAAATTGATTGTTTTTTAAAACTAGTTTGAGTTTGTTTCTCATGTAATTTGGGGTGGATACTTGTTTATTAAGATGTATTTAAACACATTTGTGGACATTCTGTATAAGATTATTTGCCAACCTAACTGTTTTTCCCTTGGAACCGGATATTTGAACTGCATGTTTCATCTTGTGTCATTTCACTACAACCTTTAAATACCCTTGTTGTGAAAAAAGTTTTTTATTTCAAGCTAGAATTAGTGCAGTTTTGCAGATTCAAATACTTCTCATCATCGCTCTTGCCTGGCATATAAGAGGGGTGCATGATGATGAATTTTAATTGTAGCAGTTGCATACTTAGGCATAAAAGAAATTCTCTAATGAGTTTTTTTGGAGTAAGGAATATAGAGGTTAGGCTTGAGACCGCAACATAGTCCTCACCACATATTACCTACATGTTTTTCCCGATAGCCCCCAAAGGTTCTGGGCTCTAGTATCTGTTTCTGTTTGTTTCATGAGTTAAATATGGTAAGGACTTTAGGTGCAATTGAGAATAGACAAGAGCCTTATGTGAAATACTTTTTTCATGTCACTGGTTCTTGAGATGAAATATCTCTATTCTGTGTGGAGACTGTATAATAACACTGGGTGCAATTGGCAAGGCTAAATGGCATGGGACGTGTGTGTGACTAATACAGCTTGCTGTACTCTTGTTGTTCTCGTTTATTGTTGTCGTTGTTGTGGTGAGATTGATTTTGCTATTAATTTATGTTTTTATAACCCAAGTGCAATGACTCTATGATGTGTTTGAATTAAATGAACAATGACAGGTGATTTCTTTTGGAAGCCTAGAGGGATGGAGGAAAATATATTCGCTTCTCTGGCAAAGTTGTGAATATTTTCACAATTTTGATGAATATTCATTGGCATAAACTGTTTAGCTTTTGAAAAGTGTTTGTTGCTGTGATGATGACTGCTCTGAATTAAGTCTGGATGGTGGCATTATTTATGGCTCATTTTCGGAAATAGTCAAAATAATTTGTATAGCGTGGTATGGGTCTTGGAGTGGGTCGCTTAGTTAACAGTTATTTCAGCTCCTGTTTGTATGAGAATGATTGGGGCTCCTGTGTGTGGTATATATATATATATATATATATATATATATATATATATATATATATATATATATATATATATCAAACGCCAACACAGTAGGTACCCTTTCTATTATTTCTTTGATGTGTAGGACTGTGTTGGAAAACCTACCATGGCCAAATTTTTTAGAAATCGGAGTTATCTCCCTTCTCTGCGCCATCTTTGGCTCAAAGCCAAATCTTGTGAATCCATTTTGTTTTGTCTCAAAAATTTGCCGCAAGAATTTATGCCTTGTTACATCTGTACTTCTTACGGAAATTTTATTGTAAGAATTTTGGAAATTATGGGTTTGGTTTTGCCTTTGAGCCTTTCATATATTTGTAATTATTGATTTTATTTTTGTGGTCTTTGTTATTTTTTAAATTTTACTTGCCTTTGGCAGTTAATTGGTTGTTTGTCGGTGAAGTTGTTAAGTGAGTCTTGTGAAAATATGTTCAAATCAAGTGAGCTAAAATCATGACCCAGACTACTATGATGCATTTAAAGATTGTTTTGCAGTAGCCTCTTTGCCTGTCGCTAAGTATGCTCTTGTGTGCATCTCTTGTACTTTGAAAAAGTGGCTGTGGACAGACAGGGCAGAAGCTGTATAAGTTGGTGTGCTGTCGGAGTTGTTCTAGAAAAGTTATCAGCATTTATCTGATTCAGAGGAGACCCGTGTATGTTGATTCTATTTAAATGGTACTGGTAGTTGGTACTTCTCTCTCCCATATGTTTCGCTGTTTGCAATTAACAAGAAAATGTTGTATATTGAAAGAAAAGTGTATCAGTGTTCCCCTCCTCTGAAAGTGCCTTTTCCTATTGAAGTGTGCGGTGTTTGTGTTGATTTGAAATATATTGACTCCTAGATAAATTCTTTAAAAAACCAAACAACAACGGATGACAGTCAGAAAATTGCTACCCATGGTCTGAGCCACATTATGTACTGGCATCACAAACTAAGTTGCTTGACCTCTTTGCGTGAGGTGTAAAAGAAAATATGCGGCAGATTGAGCATGACAGTGAAATACACGAGTGATCCGTTTCATGATGCTCAATATACATGTTTCATCTTTGCATTTCCGTCGGTCGGTTCTCTATGTACTTAAAAAAGTAGCAGCATGTCGGTAGGACAGTTTCACCATCAGTCAAGATTCTTTCGCATCAAGGATGTCACTTTTTTGCCTTGTATTCATCAGCTGAAGTTGCTAGGCCCTTTCTGAAGGACACAGTTCCTGCCCTAGGTTTCAGTCTGCCCCCTGTGTACTCTTAAGCGAAACCTGTGGTTGACCGTTAAGTCTTTGGATTCTAGATGCAGTTAGCTTTTATTAATAAAAGTTTTGTGTATAATCTAGTATTGAAGTCCTTCTCAATGACTGCTTTCCTTTTAATCCTTGGGCCTTTTTTCACGATGAGTTGGTTTCTAATGGTAGTGTCACTCTCAGTTTGTCAAACTTTTTTGGCATTCAATGTTAAAGTTGTAAAGTGCACAGAGCATGCTGTAGGTCGTGGATATGCATGATAATGCAATTATTATTACTAATATTTTAATCATTATTTCATGGATTAGACGCATTCGAAACAGATGGGGAGGGATTTGGTCCTCTCATTCTGCCATAGGTGAAAATGAAGCTTTTAAATGCTCAAAATGTGGCAAACTCTTTTTGTCAGAATTGGTTCCATTTATTGGCCACAGAAAAAGCCATAAGTCGTCCTAATTCTTGTTTCTTCTTTTTCACGAGGGAAATATCCTCCTCTGGAGGTGCACTGGTCATCGTCACACATTGACGGATGAACTGTTACTACGTTCTCACTGTTACTACGTTCTCACCAATACAAACTGGAAGTGACGAGATTGTTGCTGTGTAGTTCCTTCCCCTTTTTCTTATGTTTTTTTCTGTTCACGACTTATGACATAGCCGTACTTATCCATACGGTAGCAGTCTGGGAAGAGAGTGCGACTCCACTACTGTAGCGCAGAACTTTCCTTGTGTTACTTGTGTCTGAACCTGACCGAAGAAAATCTTTGCGGTAGAATGTCGTTTATTGTAGGCCAACAATAATGATGATCCTTAGTTTCATATGCCATGAATAATTATTGTCGTATCCTCTAGATAGGTAGTTCAATGGAATTTTCTACACCCACATCGATTTCATTATTTCACTTCCCTGGCGCACATTTCTGTTTTCTTCGTAGAAGTAGATTGCAATTTTAGCATGAATTCAAATGCAACTGGTATTTTGATATGCACCGATTTCAGTTTGGTTTGTACATAGTGTCTGTTGTATCCTAATGACATAATAGCTGTCCTGTAATGAGCGAGAACATGGTAAGAAATTTGAATTCATGTACAATATTGAGATATTATTTATACACATATACTATATTTTTGGGGGTTGTTATACCACCTTCTGTCATTTTTATTTTTGTTTGTTGTTCTCCGCCTGACATAATTTGTTCACATTCCTGTATGTATGTATGCTAGCTGAGCTGACACCACATCCATGCTTTGTGTAAATTACAGTGAGGCGCTACCGTAGTTTTTCTGCATTTCTCAATATGGAAATGACCCAACAAAGTACAGTGTATTATGCTATAAATCCATGTATAGGGCCTGGCATAATTGTTTCTTGCACATGTCTGTATTTGGTTAGAAGTCCCTTAGTGTGCATGCGTATACATGAATGTGTATGTGTGTATATATATGTATATGTGTGTGTGTATATATATTTATGCACACACACAAACACACACAGACAGGTACACACACACATGAAGAAGTCACATTCAGGAAGTGCACATTTGTTTTGTAGTGGTTGCAGTGGTTCTTTTTGTAAGCTGCGTTTTATAAACGTTCTGTAGTGTGCGTGTGTGTGCCTTGATATGTCGCGTGATCATCAGTCTTCATGCAAGGGTGTGGCTCCCATCCCCCCTCTCTCCCTTTTCTGCCCCTCCCCCATCCTTTGCCTCATCTATCAGTTCAGTCTCTCCCAATCCAATCTTGTCTAGAAAATGCCCGGTCTTTATGTTGTTGTTCTTATTTTGACATCTAATCTTGCAGCTTCCCCCTAGACTATGTAGCCATAGCATTCATTATGTTGTTACGCTTGTTAAAAATTTCATTTGAGCTAACGTATTCAATAGAATTGGGTGGTTGGTGGGTGGGTACTCGCTTTTGGTTTGTTCCTTCTGTCTCTTTTTCTATGTTACCATTATTCTAGTCCATGTCTTGATCTAAATTGTGTTAATGGGGGTGTAAAAATGCTTACGTTAATGAAATGTTTTCTCCCTGTGTGGTGAAGTGTGGCTG